GGCTGCTACACCAGTGCATATAGCCTCTTTTCCCCCAGGCGCCGGCGGTCTAAGGATCCGTGATATCATTGCGACCATTGACTTGCACTGAACAGGTTATGCAGAGGCAATCATTGATTTTGTGGTGGGCACTTGCACAGTGACACATTCACAATCAGTTTTTATGATAGTTGATCTGAGGTAAACTGCCAGCAGAAGGACAAGGCAGGATATTGGCAGGCAGAACAGTTTGAGTGACATGAAGATCAAATCGTGCCCATATCAGAGGGCACAGAATCCTTTCACTGGCTGCCAGCTGTACATCCAGAGCCAGGCTAATCCTGTCGATTTAATATACAGACAAGACAGGGAACATCTGCGGTTGCTGGGAAGATTGCATCATCTGCGTCTTTCATTTTGTGACTGCAGGCCTTCCGCCTGAGTACCGGGAAGATTGTGTACCACCTAGATTATTATTATAGATTCCAGGAAAATAATTTTCCGTTTTATACCTGTCTGTGCTTAAGGTGCCACTAAACCTGAATTGCAAGTTGGTGAAATTACTTAATAGCATTTGTACATAACGATATATATGTGATAAGGTTATGAAACTTTTACATACTTAAAGGAGTTGCAAAGTCCCAGCATGTGCTATCCTGTTTTAACATAATGCAATGAAAGCTTTCTTGAAAACAAATCCCTTTTATGTAGCCGGTGCTGCCTTCTGTTTGCCCATCACTTTCACCAACTTCCTGGATTCCCAGTGTGCTTTGCATCTCTTTCCCTGCTGCCTGATGTGATGCAATCTCCATTCTCAACTCTAGGAGTGGGATAGAACTTATGGAAATTCAATATGGAAATACATATTTACTTTTCGTTTTTGACCATAGATATCCTTTAATCAGTAATAAACATTACCTTTAAAATGCACAATAGGAGCACAGCCTACTTGGCCAGTACTTTGCTTTTCATCCTGGAATAGCTATAATGCGCCAGTCCATCCCAGTCCCTTTTGTTGGTGATCTGTGATCCCCTGCTTCTGATGCAGGGCAGTTATTCATAAACACACCACTGCAGGCTTCCTATTGGATTTTACATATAGAAAGTTTGATGTTGAAAAAATGCCTGTACTAAGATGTTTTTGAAGGCACTAATCACATTAAAGTCTCACCCTGGATGTTTGAACATGATTGGTGGTACATTTAGCAGAGAGAGGAAGCTATATACTTTAGGAAGTACACTCCCAGTGACTATGTGAGGTGCTACCTGTATTCTTGCTGCAGAATGTAGATAAGGGTAATTTAAGCAAACTTTGTTTTTTTGATACAGCAGCACTTGCTTACTCATATTGGTAACTTACCGATTGTTTTCATTTGCTTCTTGGAATTGCTCTTTAAAGGGGACCTACAAATAACTTTATGGGTCACCATGAATACATGCCAAGCTGTAAATTTGACCATTACAAAGCAGTTGAGCTCCAGTGCAGCAGCTATGTATAGGGTTGAGATGAGCATCTTTGGTGAATGTCATCAGTCTTCCAGAGGCAGGGTGAAGCATTTTCTCTTGTGTCCTCGAGGGATCACTTACTGGGACCATGGTAAACTCTTACTTTTCTGGCAGCCCAAAGGGTGAGAGGCTGGGGAAGGAGACTTGAGAACATAGCTGAGAATATAACTGTGGGGCTTGCCTCCTCCATTCCTGTTTTACTCCTTAAAGGAATGCTCACAATGGAAAAATAAATCAATGGTGCACAGTGCATTCTGTCATAGAATGTAATCTCTGATGTACTAAAAAGGCAGCATGCATGAATTTCTGATGCATCGCATTGGTTGCCTGGAATTGCTCTTTACAGTGAAAGTGTTGCAATATTTCCCAACGCACCGCTGTTATCCTGTCAAGTAATCCATAGATGAATACTGCTGTCTGTCACTTTTAAACCTCCCTTTCAGCTAAAAAGACAGCTAACAAACAGTAAGAAATAGAACAAAGTTATGTAAATGTCAGCTGACCCTTCTATGCAGACAGAGTGCTTCAGATTCATGCCGATGAATACTACTCTCTCTTTCATATAATGGATAATGGACGCTTTAATGTTTTAGGTTTTCTAAAACAAGCTATAATCTCACAATTTATTGCATTTAGTTTTAGACTTTTTTTATTTCATTTTAGTAATTTCCCAGTGGTCTACTAAACAAGATCATTAGTATTTGTGATGATATGAAATAGTAGGTATTGCAGACACGAGCTACTGTATCTGATTCATTATTATTTAAAGTACATAGTAACTGTGAAATAACTGCACACAGAATACATAGGGGTCTATTCACAAAGCTGCCGAAGGATCTAGCCGTAGCTTCGGCTGATCCTTCGGCTAGCTTTGGCCCCAGGATCACTTCGGTTGAGTAGAACCGAAGGGCTGCTGCACGGGCTATTCACTATAGCCTGTAGAGCTCCTGTAGTTGGCCGAGCGGCTCAGTCGAGCCGAAGGCATATGCCTTGGCTCGACTGAGCCGAGGTGAAAGCCGAAGCTGGCCGTTGGCCGGCCGACAGCCTGCTACTGACAGCTGGGCGGAGCCAGCCGTCATCTCACAGCTGGCTCTGGCCACTTGCAGAGACAGATTAGCGTCCCTGGTTACCAGGTAATCAGGGACGCTGATCTGTCATTACTCTCCCGGACGCTCTGGGAGTCTCCCGCTATTAGATAGCGGCTCCTGGCCGCCCCCGAAGGAGAGAAACACTTTCGCCCAGAAAGGTTTACTCTGCTCGATCGAGCAGAGTAAACCTTTCCCTGCTCTGTTGTTTGTTTGTTTTTCTTCTGACATCGGAGCCGCTGGCCGCCGTCAGTCAGAAAAAAAATACAGTATAGGAATGCATAGCTACATTCCTATTTGCTATTTCACTTTGCAATAGCCAATAGCAAACTAGCTATTGCACCCGCCCACTGCTGCTGTCAATCAGCAGAGGGGACCTGAAGTTCTCCATCAGGTCCCCTTCTAGTGATTGGCAGAGGGTCGGGTGCAATAGCCAGCTGGCTATTGGATATTGCAATATGAAATAGCCAATAGGAATCTAGCTATGCATTACTATGCTGACTTTTTTTTTCTATTTTGACGGCAGCAGCTGACAGAATACAAAAAAAACCATTGCAGATAGCAAAGAAGCTATTGCGTCCTCTGCTATCTGCCATCATTTCAATCGTTTTCTATTTTTTTTCACATTTTTTGACTGTTTTTCTATTCTGCTCGGCACCACAGAGGTACCGAGCAGAATAGCCGAATAACTTCACTTCGGGGCGGTTATCCACTCGGCTGCCTACGGCTGTTCTGTGAATAGACCGCATAGTATTCAGTAAGCTTCAATTGCTGTGTTCGATGCAGAACAAGGTATGATGCAGAAGGGGTTACTAACAGGGTTATTCACAAAAAGGGTGAAGAGTTTGGAGAAGTCACGAGACGTGAACAATCTAGGACAATATAGCTGAACTGGAAAGTGAGCTGAATTGGGGAATTTTTCCAAATCAGCTATTTTGGCCTAGATTGTTCACTGCCTGCCTGCCTTCTCCAAACTCTTCATCTTTTTGTGAATAACCCTGTCAGTGTTTTTGGCTGGTTCTTGAGCTGGCCAAAATGCGATCTGCGGTCGGCCCTGTTGGCAACCTCCCACCTGAATCTTTGATTTGAAAATCAAAGGTACTGGGCAGAAAATTCTTGGCCTACAATGTTTGCACTTAATCAGATGCAGTCACTGTGCATGCGTTCTGACAGCGGTGCATGGTGGCTGTCAGAATAATAAAGCCTCAGCAGGAGATTTGTCCATCTATGCTGTTTAGGAGGAGTGTTAGATTATTATTTTTTTTCATTCAGCCTGCAGGTCAAAGGAAAAAAATCTAGTGTATGACCAGCTCAAGGTTATATTGGCCTTAGTAGAGAGCAGGTTAATGTGAGATGTTAGTCCAAGATTATTGTTAGGTTTTAGAGGGTTAGTTTAGGAGTTGAGGATGTGTATGTGTCGTGATGGGGTGGGTGTAAGGTACTTAAGCAGTTAGATGGAAACTTGTGTTGGAGGAAGGCTGCTGTTAATGGCAGTGGATAAGGGCAAAGAAGTTGTGCTATTGAGATGTAGTTTAAATATCTAAGTGGGAATTATTAGCACTGACTAATGTCACAAAGAACTGTTAGAGCTTCAATTAGAAAACTTCTGCCCATTCGAATGGCACTAGCGCCCATAGATGGTGCTGACGAGTATAGCAATTTTATATACTGAATAGTGCCATCTAGGGGTGTTAGTGCTGTGCAAACGGCATCTGCCCAGCGTATGAACCCCCTGTTCAATCAGTCACAAACCGCTTGTCTCGTACTGTTTGAAGGATAAGCTTGCCTGAGTCTTGCTCCATTTCATTGGTTCAATAGTGGAGGGCTAAAATGTATCTTTAGGCAAACTTTTTTTTTTATAGTTTTATAGTTTTGAATAGAGGAGGGGAAGGGCTTCTGCAACGTTTTTGATGCTGTCTCTGTTTCTACTGGGGAGTTTTGCCTCTCTATTTATACTGGTAAGCGTTACAGGGAAAGGAAAATTAGAGGAAATCTTGAGTTGTATCCAGAACAAAAGCTATGAGGAAATTATTCAATGTTTCCAGGGACATCTGTCTAAGAGGGCAATTTCCCTCACTTTGGGAGATTTCCTCCAAATTCCAGTTGCGTCTTTAGGAGAAAAGGTGAAGGGAAATTTCCCCAATGGCACACAAATGGCAAAAAAAACTGGCCGGGTGTTTTAATCTTTCCCCACTCTATCCAAGTTTTGGCTATGTAAACACTTAGAGCATTGGGGGTACTTTAGGACAGGGAATTGTTGGGACATATTGAACAGCACTCTTCTTTTCAGCACTGAAATTAACAACGCCAGACTTTCAGTGCCAGAATATAATGTACCACAGTAACTGTATTTATTTAGCTCAATCATAGAGGGGACAACATGTACCAAATATCAATCATTTAAACCCACATTTTCTAATTTCAGATACTCCGATCTTTTTCTCCAAGAGGCCACAATGTCTATGGAATTAGCAAATTATCAGACCAGTGAAAGGTCGCCCCTTCCCGTGGTTATTATTGGTAAGTGCCTGCCTGCTGGCTTTCCATAATGCTTAGTCACTGTCTAGTCAGGATGACATCTCTAATAATACTTATAAAACTGAAACAGAGAAGTTTCTCTGCAAATTTCCATGTAGACCACTTCCACTTTAGCAATAACCACTCTCAGCCTAAAGACAGCCAAGTCAGTGGGATTGCTTCTACATCTATCCCTCAAAAAGAGACGAGTTTGCTCAGTTTCATTGTTTTTAAAATATTTCTGCAATATTTTTTGAACCATGTTGTTCCCATCAGCCTTGAAGATTTGTTAAATAAACAAGGAGCAAAAAGGACAATCACCAATTGCAACTGCTGTTAAAGAAGAAGGGAATTTTAAAAACTAAGTGCTCATTTTGTCTAGGGGACTCAAATAAACCATATATACTCGCCTTATCCTCAATCCCGCGGTGGTCAGCACTCAGCTCTCTCCCGGTCCGCTCCAGCTGTCAAATGTCCCCAGTGTCCTCATGTCTAATACAAGTCAACAGACCTGCACAAGATGTGATGACATCGGCAGTCCTTAGACTGCCAGAGCCTGGGGAGAAGAGGCCATGGGGACTGTTCTTTTAGCCCGACAAGACCGAGGAACAGGTCGATATATCTGTTTTATTCAGCCCCGCTAGACAAAACAAGCACTTAAATCCCACTGAGCTCCACTACAAGTGTACATTTTTTTAATTCCCAGAGTTATTCTTTAAAAGAAAGGAAACCAGTACAAGATTCTGATTGGTTGCTCTGGTTAATACACTTTGTTTCAATTTTATTACATAAGCCAGTTGATGCATACCATTTGTGACCAAATTGCAATTTACAAGCAGCTGTAGCCACATGTTCTTGAGTGCAGAATTCTGATTGGGTGGCAAGTGGCCATAGTGTGCTCCCAATCAGAGGCCAGAGATGACTGGCTTGGCAACATTGGTTCATGTGCTTTTAAATCTATAAATGCAAAGGGCTCTTTTTACTGTTTTGTCCCTTACGGTACCTCATATCTGTTACCATTTACATTACCATGTTGGCAATCTGGCACAACATTGTCTTATACAGGCCAAAACATGTAATGATGTAGTGGCATTTACAGTAAAAGAGAACAAAGCTAAGATACAAGATACAACAAGCAACCATTTAAACACACATGCTTGGCATGATATTTTTATATGCATTTACGTTGGGTGATGTCATAAATGTAACCTTTATCCTATTTGCCATATACCTACATTATATTCTAATTAGGATAACCATTAGTTTACAGGCACAGAAGGACCAGCTGTAACTTGTATTACATTACATAAGTGCACCATGCCCATACCCACTGATATCCCTCCCAGGGAGCGCTGGAAGTGGCTTAACAGGTTCTCTGTAGGGGAGCAATACATTATTGTTTCAAATGTAATCATATCTCTCTGACCACCACAGAGTGCACAGACATGTATTGTGCTCTTACATTCATTCAGGGAAAACATGTATGGGAAAAATACAACAATGTTCCACCAAGAATACTCTGTGTTAAAGCTGAACATCAGCCTAATTATGAATGAAAATACATATATGTAAACTGCCTTACCTGCTTAGTTCAGACAGTAATAGAGCCTGTGTCGATGGGCTTTGGGCTAGTGTCGTAGGCATTTGCAGCTTGCTTTCAGGTGCATTCAGCTTACATTTTAGATCAGTTTTAAATGCTTTCCAGATCATTCTAAGTTCATTGACAGGTGAATTTGAGCTCTGTCTAAAGGTGACCATACACTTTACAACCATCGCAATACCTTAGTCTTGCGATGGTTGTAAAGTAATTAAAAAAACGTACGATCTGCCCATCTTGGACAGGCAGATCGTACTCTCGATCATCGCAAGCCCGCCCCCTTGAGGGGCGGGCTTCCGATGACCGCAATGCTGAACTGGCAGTGTGCGCACACCGGCCCGTTCGGCATTTGTCTCCCGAGCACCGTTCAAACCAGCCGAAAATCGTACGATTTGCGGCTGGCTTTCTAGCATGCTCCTTAGACAAAAGACGTGCGACCTTACAGTAGAAACGGTCGCACGTCTTTGTTCACACTGCTCGATTCTCGTACGATCGCGGGATTTCCCGCGATTCTCGTACGAGAATCAAGCAGTGTATGGGCACCTTTAGCTTCATCAATGTGCTTCAAGTTGCTTTTCCATTTCCACTGACTTGTATAAGGAGAGAAGCAGCCCGTCCACACAGGACCTTAAAGTAGTTAGGCAATATACATGAACCACTGAATTACCCCCCAGCCTGCAGATAGAACTATGAATGAGAGCATGGGGGCACTGATAGCATTATCATTCTGCTCCCCTTCTATCATCAAGCTCCCAGTGTTGGATTGACAGCACTGTGCAACACAGTAAAGCTTGAGAGATTCACATTGCTAATCATTCTTCTCACAGTCGGATACTTGCTGTAAAGGGAATCTTATACAGGACACATTTAGGGACTTATTCTAACTGGTGATGGTCATCTCTGTCTGACAGTAGTTCAGGTTTAAGGGGCTGTTCAAATTAGGTCCGTGCATTAATCACACAGTTCCACGCAACGCACCTACCTTACATTAACAGGGTGGCAGGTGTGTTGCATTGCCATTCATTTGGATGGCACCCCAAATGCACCTCGCATCCGCAATGCAATCGATTGCACACGATGAGCAGTATCGCAATACTGTGCGTTGCTGTATGGTGCATGCACTACTTTCACGATTAACACACCCACCCATTGTGAACGGGCCATAAGCTCTGGATTCATGTGAATGGATCCATCCATGTTGTGATTTGGGTAGTCAATCTATTTTAGGTCTATATAACTGTAAATACAAATGGTGACTGTGGATCCCAATTTATACCTTGTCTGGTGTATATGTTAGCATATATAACTCTAACTGTGTAATAGGCAATACTCTAGGACATGTTGATTTTCCTTTTTCTGGAATTACAATTGGCTTACAACTTTAACCCTCGACCATAAGCCCTTGATCTTCCAGATCTGACATAGAATACACAATAGATGGTAGGTTCTAGTACAGTGCATGTAGCTTTCATCTACTTTGCCCCCGGGAGCTGTCCATTTGTGGTTCTCATATGTTCTTGTATCTGATAATGAAAATGGATTACCTATCCAGTTCTGTTAATGTTTATAGAGTGTATTACAAACATGTGCTTGATTCATGTGTTGCTTTCAAGAACCTATAGATATATCTATAAATGATTTATGCTTGCTTGCTTTTAGGTAATGGCCCATCAGGGATTTGTCTGTCCTACTTATTGTCTGGATATACTCCATATGTGAAAGAGGGAGCTGTTCATCCCAATCCATTGTTACAAAGGAAACTAGAAGAATTCCCTCATGTTCCTATCACACAACAGGTTTGTGTACACTTATATATGGAATTACGCAATCACATGATGGTTGTTTGAGATATGTGCAACATCTGCAACATATATTGTATTGTTAGCAGTGGCTAGAATTGGTTACTGTGTCTATTTTAAAGATAAATGCAGAAGTAATAGCTGCAATATGGCTAAAACTTAAGCAAATGGATCTCAAAGAAGCATAGGGAACATCTGTGGCAAGCCAAATGCTTTCATAGCAATCTAATATTGGAGCTATGCTGGCATTCATTTAATTCTATTCTTTTGTCAAAGTAAGAGAAAAGAGCACAGATTTAGAAAAAAAATCAGGTCTTTCAAGCAATGAACACTCCATTACATGAGGTTTTTTGACAACCAGCTAGCTGATGACACTATAGGAGTCCAGCCCTGTGGAAAGGTCACCATGGCCTACAGGTGCCTCTTCTAGCCAGGACTAGATTATCACCGTGAATCCATGGAGGCAATAGCCTTAGGGGGCTACAGTGTGGAAATATTATTAGCTGATGTTGAATTGCACACACCATAGTTCTAAGTCAGTGTATTAGTCTGAGGTCAGTCAAAACAAAATAAGAGTTCATTTTTCTATAAGCAAACTGTATAATAGAGGCTTTTGAGTTATATGTAAAATTCTTTGAAGGGACTTAAAATAAGACTTTAAGACTGACAATGTTGAAACTCTATGCCCTTTACATAGTACCCACTGTGTTGTCAGGTGGAGACCTTCTTTTTAGGAAGGGTCTAAAAATACCTTACATAGTTCATACCAATAGCTTTCTGTAACTGTGTTAAATATACTGGAGGAATTTATCAAAGCTGGAGCAGACAAAATCTGGAGCAGCTGTGCATGACATTCTCTCTTTAGTTTGTTCAGTTAAGATTTGAAAATTAAATAGAGAAGCTGATTGGTTGCCATGCACAGCTGCTCCAGATTTTGTCTGCTCCAGTTTTGATAAATTCCCTTCACTGTATTTTCTGTGTGCTAACGTTGTGGTGAGCAGTGAAGCCGATTGCTTGAAGCTTCACCACAATATTCACACTTTGCCATGACCTACACAATGGTCCCTGAGGTTTATTGCAGATTTTTAAAGGTGAACTATAGGGTCAGGGCTTTTCCCCATAGTTCTCTTAAGGGTCACGGGAGGACATAAACTAGCGCCCTCCCGTCACCCAAAGCTACAGCTCGCGGTATACTGAGACGCCGCAGCCGGGACAAATCCCGACATTACTGTCTGGATCCACCCAGCTGCGTGAGTTACAGCCGGCTCTGCCTATCTAGAGGGAGAGCCAGCTGTACCCGCCCCCGTCCGTTCCGCCAGTCAGCGCTGGGGAATCGGACAGGGGAGGGGGAAACCCTGCAGGGAGCCGTGAGTGACAGCGACGGCTCTCTGCAGGGATAGGATTGAGAAGTGAGCGAGCGACGGTATGTGTTCGCTCACTTCCCGATCTATTGAGCCGACCTCTGACAGTTTCATTGTCACAGGTCGGCTAGAACTATGAGGTGAGTGATTTTTACTCGCCTCATAGTTCTCCTTTAAAATACAAAGTACAGAGTACAAAAAGTACACAAGTAGAGAAACCAAAACACTCCCCACATTGGTGATGGGAGGTAACGAACAATGACTATTGCTACAACAATGAATACATTTACACCTTACTTTTGTTTTGCCATATCCAGGATTTGGAGTATTTGTCTGAGGGTTTGGAAGGACGCTCCAGCAGCCCAGCCGCTCTGCTGTTTGACACTCTGCTCAGACCTGACACTGATTTTCTTGGAGATGTGGAATCTGTGCTGAGCTGGACTCTAGAGCCAGAGAGAGCAATTCCTCACTTGGTTCTGGGGAGAGGACCACCAGGAGGCGCTTGGAATGTGAGTTTTTTAAAATATAATTTACAAATGGATCACATTAGAAGAGGAAGCTGCAGAACACATAAAGAGAAGCCGAGCGCTTTAGCTACTGTTATTTGTAAAACAGACTTATAGTATACATCTGCACACTTGACTGTTCTAAAAAATTAAAGTAGACTTATACTAAGGTTTTAAAATAGAGTTTTGTTAAAGCCACATTTCATGGGGAAAAAAAATCATAATTTACACACCACTCTGGGTGTGCAAATTATCATTAAAGCTAAATGTGATGTGTGGAGAGCGGCTGCAAAGTATAAAAGTTTTACCTGGCAGGGCGATGCGTCTGGAGCACTCTATTGCCCAAGTCTCATCCCTCACTGGCCACAGAACCTGGAAGCTCGGTGTTATGTGTAGGAGCCAGCATGCTGAAGGTAAGATTTTTATACTTTGCAGTGGCCCTCCACACATAACGCGCTGCTTATTAATGATAATTTACACACCTAGTGCGGTGTGTAAATATCATTTTTACCTGCAGTGTGGCTTTAAGTGTCATCCTGGGATGGAAAGATACAATGTCACAAAGAGTTGTAACACTTCCCTTTTTGGAGAAAATTTTGCTCTGGGCCCTTTCCATTGCTGATCATATGATCAAACATAGGCATACCTTTTAGTTACCTCTGCTCAGGAGAATGGAGGTTAAGAATTGCTGAAATTCCTTTGACTCATGTATGTGAAATAGAATTATGATATAATAGAACACCGAGCAAACAATAAAATTACTAGGGATGCACCTATATATCGGCGCCGAAACATATCGGCCGAAAATGGCACTTTTGGCATAATGCCGAAAGAGCCATGTTTCGGCCGATACATCGGCGCATCCCAGGTTTCTTTTCTCCCCGCTGGGCGCTGCTCTGTGTTCCAGCGGGGAGAAAAGAAAGTGACAGCCGGCCGAGCGCTGCAGGACGAGAGCGCTGTGAGCGGCCGGCGTCTCTCCTCCCACACCGCTCAGCCGCCTATCAAAGTCTGGCAGAGCGGTGTGGGGGCGGAGACAGCGCTGTCACAGGAGGCTGGGCTCTCCTCTCTACACCGCTCGATCAGCCTCCTGTGACAGCGTTTCAGAGAGAAAAGCAAGGTACGTTAACTATCAAGGTATGTTAACTATATCCTCAATTATGAATGAATGGGAGTGATCTACATCACCCCCATTCATTCATAATTGTAGTTATAGTAAACTCACAATGTTCTCATGTTATCAATGAACAGGAACACTCAGTATAGAGGGTTCCTGTTCATTGATAACAGGGGACACAGAAAAAGAGATTGAGGACTCTGTGTTTTCAATCTCTTTTTCTATTTTAAAAGGGAAATATCAGGGGTCTGTTTAGACCCCCAATATTCCCCTGAAGCCCCTAAAAGAAAAGTAAAAATATTTAATAAAAAATGAATTAATAAATATAAAAAAATTAAAAAGTTTATAAAAAATAAAATATTTAAAAAAATTGAAAAAATAAAAAACATTTTCGGTTTCGGCCTGACATTTTTTGTTTGTTTCGGTTTTAACATTTCCATTTCGGTGCACCTCTAAAAATTACTTTCAGGAAAAAACATTTTTGTTTTGTTGCTATGTCTCTGGAAACTGCGTGACTACAAATATGTTCTATTTCAGGCCATTGCGGGATCCATGATTACTCTAAGCCGCGGGGACTGGATGGGCCTGCCTGATCTTTCATTTCAAGACTGGATGAGGATGAAAAGGAGGTAAGGAACCAAACATACAACCAAGCTCTAATGTATGGGGACTGTTTAAAGGGAATGGTATTTTTTTAGTGGTTTTGGATAACATGTAAACAAAGCAGCTCATTATATAAAAAGTTATCCATATATGTCAATGTTTTAAAAACCTTCTTTCTATGAAGAATTTGTAAATATAAGTACTGATTGACAAGCGAAAGACCTGTGAATCAGCAGTAGCAATGCATATACTCACACCCCTTGCAACATCTTCTCTTGCTACAATAGTGCAAGCAGACACAGCCTACATGAGGATAACAATGCTGCTCTGAATTCTGGAGCAGTACAGCAGTGTTGTCACTCAGCATGACATGGCTTTCATGGCAGGCTTAACAGGCATTTGCAAGATTTTACAGGGGGACTAATGGAAAATGTTAAGTGATGCATCACATGTGTTTTTCAATGGGAGGCAGAAAATGACATAGAACCACTGGATGCTTCCTGTTATGGGCCATCTACAAATCTTTATACAGTATATAACAAAAACATTGATGACCATGCTTCTAAAACTGTGAAGGCCAAATAGAACTTTTGTTTAAGGATAACGCTGCTGTAATCAATAACATATACACCCACTGGAAATACACAACATTTTCCTACATTAAACTACATCTGTCCCAATTAAATTAAATTGTCTCTTGTTTTCAAATGATAGTGTGCTGGCAGCTAAACAGTACATTCAAAGCTGCAAACCTTAGCAAGTGATTATATGGAAGAATTTTATATTTTATGGTTAACTATCCTTTCCTTAACCAAAACCTTAGATGAAAGTTCCTTTATACAGACTGCTTCTATATCTGTAGAGAAAATGAAGCCAAGCATCTCCTCATTAGGTAGTTATACCCTGGTCCTGAGCCTGTTCAGTTGATGTAAAATATATAAAGCATCTGTGTCTATTATCTTATATGTACTGTATGTTCATAGGAATTCTTGAAAACACTTGGAGGAAGGCCAGGCTTTGGGGTCACCTGATAAGACCATTACAGAAAACTCCAATTTGCAATACAAGAACACAGTCTAAAGCAGATAACTAGTATGATTACAACACCGCCTACAGACTGGCTAATCTGTATTTATCTCAGTTACTCATACTGCACATAGCTTGCATTCTGAACATGGATACATTTATCTCATACACAACTATCCCATTCTGGAAACAGTAATCTTATCTGATGTTAAGGGTTCTTGTACTGTGAAAAGGATTTATTTTCTGCACAAATGAACAGCACCGACTTTGAGTTTTAATTGCAGATTTTTGCATTGAAATGAAACTGCACTTTGCCGGTACTGGGCCAGGTTCACGTTAAATAAGGGACCAAAAGGAGACTGTATTTCTCATCCCTGTGCTTCTCTACCCTGCAGATAACACAAAAAATAGCCAATTCTTCTGGGTAAGGGGAACACATAACATTCCGCCTGCCTTTCCACAGTGCTTAGCGCCTAAGTGGCCAGTCCCATTACCCAAAGATCTGTAACTTATCAAGTAATCTCAGCATTTTCCTATTGCTCTACCATACAAGAGACCAAGCAGAGCCTCATTCTCACACAGAGCAGTGGCAAAGACAACAGGCATACTAATATCCAGAAATTCTATATTATAACAATATTAGTTTTCAAAGCTAGTGTAATAATACAGTAGTTATTTTGCTAACCACCTACTTGCTTTTTTTTTTAGGAACCTCCGAAATGATAGGTCCACTGCAGGCGACATCTTGAACTATTACCAATACTATGTAAAGAATAAAATACTTCAGAACAACTTTGTCTCAGGGGCTGTTGTCAACTCTGTTGTAAGAATGAACGAAAGTGAGGAGCATTTACCAGAGAACAAGAGCATCTTCCAAGTGAGTGGCTTCATCAAGAACAATTCAGGAATCAAACAGAATTTCTGTGTCTATGCAAAGAATGTGGTTCTGGCCACAGGAACATATGATAGCCCTTTAAAATTGAGTATCCAAGGAGAAGATCTTCCTTTTGTGTCCCACCAGATCTCTGCTCTTGAAGAGGCTGTGAAGACAAAAAAAGTCCACCAAGACTCAGACCCAGTACTGATCATAGGCGCAGGGCTGACAGCTGCAGATGCCATTCTGTTAGCGCATCACTACAACATCCCCGTAATTCATGCCTTTAGAAGACGGGTTAATGACCCAGGACTCATTTTCAACCAGTTACCTCAGGTTATGTACCCAGAGTACCATAAGGTGTACCAAATGATGAAAGAACAATCTGTCTTTCAAGGTGGACCATATGAAGGTTACATGAGCCTTCCTGAGCACCATGCAGTCTGCTTTAATGATAACAAGAAATGTATCTTCAGGGATAAATGTGGACAACACAAGGCATTCAGTGTCTCCATGATCCTAATTCTTATTGGTTCCAAACCTAACTTGTCTTTCCTTCCAAACAATGGCAAGTACCTATCTCTGGACACCGAGCAGCCATTCAGCTCTAAAAGGAACCCACTGGAGATCGATCCATTCACCTATGAGTGCTTACAGGAGAAAGGCCTGTATGCAGTTGGACCTCTGGCTGGTGACTATTTTGTACGTTTTGTCCAAGGAGGCGCTTTAGCTGTTGCCAACTCTCTGCTGAAATCTCAGAGGAGACCTCCTTAATATTAAACATGTTGTTTTGTAATACCAAGAGCTGTATCACATCTCAGCCATAGCACTGGCAAAAAAGACATTCTAGTGTGCAATAAGACACAAGCAGAATGCCCTAGCCAGCACTACAGCCAGCCAAATGCAAATCATTCCACCTTAGATGAAGGCACTTATGCTGCTGTTGTTTTTTCACTTTAGATCAGCAATGCATTGATATTTATAAGCTATTGTGTATATATACATTTCGCAGTTTGAAAAAACTGAAAATGTGTCTATTTTAGTTACAAGGAATATTTTCATATTTGTAAAACTATTAAAGATTTTATGGAAAAGTCTATATTTTAATGTATAACATATACATTTTAATACTGAATTTCAGTTATTTTTACAAAGTGCGTGTGATTGGAGATTGATTATATGCCTACTCGTTTTAAAATACTGATGAACATGTTATTATTCACACTCATGCAAAAACAAATGACATATCCTATATTGTCTAATGTTTTAAGATGCAGAATAAAAACTGTTATCCCCCTGTTATGTTAATTAGGTTAAGCCTAAAACTGAGCCCATAGATCTCTTTAGTTTGTTCAGTTAAGATTTGAAAGTGAAAGAGAGAAGCTGATTGGTCGCCATGCACAACTGCTTCAGATTTTGTCTGCTCCAGTTTTGATAAATCCCCTCAATATCTTTATAGCTGATGCCTTTTTGACATGGAGAACTGCAGGACTCAGGAAGACAGGTTTCGGAAATTGATCACCACAAACGTATCCACTTGTAAATTTACACCGGTGCTGAATTTAATTCACATCATAAGGCCAATTCTGTTGTAAATGTGTTTTTATGTATGTTATATTTAAATGTGAGACACACCTAAAATATACAACATAATTTTGGCATATTCCTTTTTAATTTTATATTTTTATATTTAAGATGGATGAATAATGTACCTATATTTTGTACTTGAATATATTTTTAAATAAACTTGTTCATGATGACTGAAGAGGGTTGACTTCTTGCTAACATAATAACATTGATTAAATACTCTGAATTCCCTTTAATCCTATCTAAAGAAAATTCTAAATCTCTGCTGCTTATTATTAGACATAGAGACACATGATAGGAAGTGTCGTATGCCAGGAATGCTCTCTTTGTTTATAGGAACTGATCGGATTCTTCCCTTATCTTATTGGTGCAGTTTGAGAGAATCAGGCTGATGGTAATAGGAAACATGAATTATTTCTTTTAATTGATCCTCGTGTCTTGATCTGTCTTCTTTTTCTGATTATTATGGGGTCTATTCACTAAGATGCCGAAGGATCTAGCCGTAGCTTCTGCTGATCCTTCAGCTACCTTCGATCCTAGGGCTCCTTCGATTCAGTAGAACCGAAGGGCTGCTGTACGGGCTATTCACTACCCAGATAGCAAGCAACTGAGCTGCAAGTTTGAAAATGACTTGCTAAACTATTGCAGACTTTGTTTTTGTTGCACAATGACAGCAAGTCTGCATTGCAAGTCTCCAGACCAGCGAGCTTGCAGACCTCTTGCTAAGACCTGCAGGACTCTTGCTGTAGACTTGCCAAGCAAATTTGCTACAAATTCAACTAGAACTTGTGCTGCAAGTGTTCTGCAAGTCTACAACTTGCCAGGAATATGTGCAGCAAGTTAACAAAAATTACAATTTCACCCTGCCACAAGTTTGTAGCAAGTTATCCTTGCTATCTGGGTATAGCCCGTACAGCTCCCAAAGTTGGCCGAGCGGCTCAGTCGAGCCGAAGGCATATGCTTTTGACAGCTGGGCTCCGGCCAGTTTCAGAGAGATCAGCGTCCCTGGTTACCAGATAACCAGGGACCTTGTCATTACACACTGAGCGGCCTCTCATCATCAGATCCCCCTCTGGTGATTGAAAGCAGTATTGGGGGCTTGGGATAGAGGGAGGAAATTTATGATGGTGGCTTGGGATGGAGGGGGGAAGTTTATTATGTGTGCTGGGGGGTTGGGAGGGAGAGGGGAAGTTTACTATTATTTTTGCTGGGGAGCAGTGTATTATATGTGTGTGGAGGGGGCTTGGAAGGGGGAGCGAAGTGTATTATATGTGTGTGGAGGGGAGTATATTATTTTATGTGTGGGGGGCTTATAACGAGGGGGGGTGTATTATTTTGTGTGTGCAGGGAGACATGGAATGTGGGGGGGTGTATTGTTTTATTTGTTATGGGTGGAGTGTATCTTTCCGTGTGTGTGTGTATATTAGGCCCCATTCACACCTATATTTCAGGTGTGATTAGGGATTCCTGTGTCATAAACGTGTGTTTTCCTGCACAGGGATCCCTAATCTGGCATTTACATGCAGCAACTGTCACCCATTCAATATAATGATCAGGTGATAGCCGCTGCATGTAAACGCTTGCACACTGCATGTAATCATATGTGAAAGAATTACATGCAGTTAGGAATCAATCACTGTCCCTGGATACACAATCGTGTACCCAGGGATAGTGATTGTTTTTGTAACTGCATGTAATTGTATGACATGATTACATGCGGTATGCAGGCAGTTACATGCAGCGGCTATCACCTGATCATTAACTTGAATGGGTGACAATTGCTGCTTGTAACATATGCAGACATTAACACTAGTGTATTTAGTAGTGGCCCCCACGGGAATAAAAAATTTGTCCAGTGGCCCCCCGAGTTAATTGGGTTTGAGACCCCTGATTAAGGCTGGGTTCACACCTGGGCATAAGGAATATATGTGTTTGCCGCGCGTTTTTACCGTGATTTGCTGTAAAAGAAACGCGTGACAAACGCGTTTCCGAGGGCTATCCGGCTGTATCCTAATGGATACGTGTGGCAAATACGCCCCAAAGAAGCTCCTGTACTTCTTTGGGCGTAGGGCGTTTTTCATCGCGTTCCTACGCGCTGTAAAATGCCCAGGTGGGAACCATGCCCATAGGCAATCATTGGTTTTCACATGTTGAGCGTTTTACAGCGCGTAGGAACGTGCTGTAAAACGCCCCGGTGTGAACCAGGCCTTAAAGAGTTATAGGTGGGGAGACTGCCAGTACTCACATTCAGGGCTGCCATCAGGGGGGTACGTCCGATACTGCTCGTCTGATGTGGCACCGGACGGAAGTGACATTACTTCCATTCCGGCAGCAGAGGAGGCCAGGTGTACAGGCACCTGGAGCTGGTAAGAGGAGCTGGGAGGGAGGGAGAGAGGGGGATGAAGCCCTGACCAGCCCACCTGAGACCCCTGCTGAGCCCACCATAGAGAGTAAGTATCACTAATGGTATATTGCGCTGTATAATGTACCATCAGCTATAGAGGAATACAAATCCCAGCAATACATTATACACTGTATGTATAATGTATTGCTAGGATGTGTTGTATTCCTCTATAGCTGGTGGTATTCGGCATTGTGCTGTATAATGTATTATTGCTGAGATTTGTAGTGCTCTATAGTTGGTGGTAAAGCCATGGTCTAAAGCCATGTAAGGGGCCCCAAAATTTCTGATGGCTGCCCTGCTCACATGTAACAAAATGTTTGTAACAAACTGTTTAGGTCTGAATAGCTTGAAACATTTTCCTGTTCCAGCAAGTGCCTCCAACCAGCATCCATGATAAACGATGTCTCCCTGTCTGATGCATCACTTTCTGCCAAAATAAATTTCTATTATACATGTATTGAAGAAATATGACACCTGACACTAATGCCTATATCTGTAGGGTTACAGACAACAGAAGCGGACCAGCTGAGATAAGTAAAAGTGTAATAAGTAACCATCAACATACTTTTAAAAGAAAAGGGTGTTCCTTTAGGTGAAACAGAATAGGGATGAATTTACTAAAACTGGACAGACAGAATCTGGAGCAGCTGTGCGTAATAACCAATTAGAGTCTATCCTCAGCTTGTTCAGTTAGGCCCGGTTACCACCTGGGCGTTTTTCCGTGCGTTCGTACTCGCGGAAAAACGCTCAAACAGGGAAATGCCATTATTTTCAATGTGCATGGTTCCCATCTGGGCGTTTTTCCGCGAGTACGGACGCGCAGGAAACCGCCCTATGCCCAAAGAAGTACATGTACTTCTTTGGGGCGTTTTGGTCGGGCGTTTCAATACACCTAGGTGTGAACCCAGCCTAAAGCTTTGGGAATGAAAGCCAGAAACTGATTGGTTGTCATGCACAGCTGCTCCAGATTCTGTCTGCTCCAGTCTTGCTAAATTCCCCTCAATGTAATTATTGCAACTTGATGAAAAAGATGTCATACTATTTTTATTTTTAGTATTTTATAACCCCCCTTCTATCAGCCACTTTAGAAAGTGAAAATCCATCTCCAGAACATTTGAGGAAAGCTGCAGCTGAGGAAGTCTGGCGCAGTCTTATTCTTATTCATGAGCATTGCTATCTGGCTGTTATCAGCTACAACACACGTAGCCTGTAAAAAAAAGTCATCAATTATTTCCTCAAATAGTAATGTGATTTATAACACAATATAAGGTTACAAATCAAAAGGCTAAATGATGTCACATGCCACAGAGTAAATTGAAACAAAATTGAAGTATTTCCTGTTTCTGTTGCACCAACTTTTATAAATGAAATAATACCATTTACATATGCTCTCTTCTCAAGTTCACAACCTTACAGGCAAACCAAATTGGAAGCAAATGGCGGTGGTAGGGGACTGGATCTCTGAATAAAATAATACGAATAACAGAGAATTCTCTGCATTTTTAAACTTGAAATCAAGTTTAAAGATGGTTTTAATAGTCTGGCAAAGGGGACACATTGGGTAATCCATTGGTGAAGGTAAGGTAGTGTAGAGGGGTTGAGAAGGTTAAGAAAACCTGAAAAAACCTATGACCCTTTTAGGGGGGGAATTAACTTAGCACTTTGCTCTTGTGTCAGGGGAAGAAGCCAACATAAACACTGGGATATTAAAGAAGATGGTGGCCGCTGTACCTACTGATCCAGCAATACATAGCCACTAAGGGGTCTATTCACAAAGCTGCCAAAGGATCTGGCCGTAGCTTCATGCAGTGAAAAATAAGTGAGTAGAGGTGATTCAATGGCTTTATCTTCTTGGAAGACATTAATGATTTTGCCACTTTTTCTCCTTAAAGTCGGTAGTGAAAGCTGATGTCTATGTCCACAAGCTAATGGTATTAATTTAAACATTGATATAAACTATAGGTGCGCAGAGCTCATGCATAACCATACTGACCCG